GAAAAACGATGGTCGTAAAAAGAGGGTTGTTCTATTGACAGCTATTGGAAAGACTCTTGAAAGAAAGGCATCCGTCGTCCTCGACGACGCTATCAGAGTCATTATGGCACCCAGTGTCATAGTCGATTCGCAAAAGTCAGCCATCCCAGAATTGAGCATCACGCCACCTGGGTCAAAATCAATCTCAAACAGAGCTCTTGTGCTCGCCGCCCTTGGCTCTGGCACTTGCCGAATTAAAAACCTCCTCCACTCTGATGACACAGAGCACATGCTCACTGCCCTTTACAAGCTCGGGGGTATGCAATTCTCCTGGGAGGATGATGGCGATACATTAGTTGTAAACGGCAATGGAGGTAAGCTCACAGCATGCGGTGACGAACTATACCTCGGAAACGCCGGTACCGCAGCTAGATTCTTGACCACGGTTGCTACCCTTGTGTCCCCATCAACTGAAAACGACTCCATCGTTCTCACCGGTAACGCCCGTATGAAGCAAAGACCCATCGGGGCCCTCGTGAATGCGCTTCGTTCAAACGGAAACACAGTCGATTACCTTGAGGGTGAAGGATGTCTTCCCCTCCGTGTACCGTCAACTTCGGGCTTTGCAGGTGGAAAGATCGAATTGGCTGCTACAGTCTCGTCGCAATATGTTTCCTCGATCTTGATGTGTGCGCCGTATGCCCGTGAGCCAGTCACATTATCGCTTGTGGGCGGAAAGCCGATTTCGCAGCTTTACATCGAGATGACAACCGCGATGATGGCGTCTTTCGGAATTGAGGTTACAAAGTCTGAGACTGAGGAATACACTTACCACATCCCGCAAGGGACATACAAGAATCCTTCTGAATACGTCGTCGAGAGCGATGCTAGTTCAGCTACCTACCCATTGGCTATTGCAGCTATCACCGGTACCACTGTTACTATTCCCAACATTGGAAAGAAGTCGCTCCAAGGTGATGCTCGTTTTGCGGTTGATATACTTCGCCCGATGGGCTGCGAGGTTGTGCAGACCGATTACTCTACCACCGTCCGGGGCCCTTCAAAAGGACAGCTAAAGCCGATTCCACAAGTAGATATGGAACCCATGACTGATGCCTTCCTTACCGCATCTGTCCTTGCTGCTGTGGCTGTCGGCTCTGAACGCACGAATATTACCGGCATTGCAAACCAAAGGGTTAAGGAATGTAATCGGATTGCAGCGATGGTCCACGAGTTGGCCAAGTTTGGTGTCACTGCTGGAGAGCTTGAGGACGGTATCTGGATCGAAGGGAAAGACTATAGTACTCTTCAGAGCCCCGTCGATGGTGTGCACTGCTACGATGATCATCGTGTGGCAATGAGTTTCTCGGTACTGTCACTTATAGCGCCGGAGCCCGTCATTGTGTTAGAAAAGGAGTGTACGGCAAAGACATGGCCTGGATGGTGGGACGTCCTGGCTTCCAGTTTTAAGGTCGCTCTTAACGGCACTGAGATCATCGATCATTCCGAACCCAGTATCATTAAAAAGGGGAACAACGCTTCCATCATTATCATTGGTATGAGGGGTGCTGGGAAAACTACTATGGGAAATATCGCAACAAGGATAATGCAACGTCCGCTTTTGGACCTTGATGTAGTGATGGAGGAGGAACAGGGGAGGGTTATTCCCGATATTGTCAAGACTGACGGGTGGGAAGGGTTCCGCCAAATTGAATTTGACCTCTTGAAGAGGAAGATGGCCGAACATCCCATTGAACATATTATTGCTTGTGGTGGCGGTATCATCGAGACCCCTGAGGCGAGGGAACTATTAATACGCTATCACCAAACCGGCGGAATTGTTATCCACATCCACAGGAATATCGAGAATGTCATTGATTTCTTAAACGTTGATAAGACTCGTCCTGCGTTCTCGGAAGATCTTCATAAAGTATGGCTTCGCCGCAAGCCTTGGTACGATGAGTGCAGTAACTTCCAATACTACTCCCCAGTTGTCAGCGCGGAGCATCTAGATATCGCCCAAGCGGACTTTGCAAGATTTCTCCATGTCATCATCGGGAAAGCTAACTACCACGAAAAGTTCTTGAGACGAGAGAGAACTTTCTTCGTTTCCTTGACTTATCCTGATATCTCGCAGGCTATAGATATTGTTGGTCCTGTCACCATCGGGGCTGATGCTCTCGAGATCAGAGTTGATCTCTTGGAGGATCCTGATGGTGAGTATGGTATTCCAACAATAAAGTTCGTCTCGGAGCAGTTGGCACTCCTGAGGAGTAAGACACAGCTTCCGGCAATCTTTGCTATCAGGACGGTGAGCCAAGGTGGACGCTTCCCCGATGATGCTCCTGAGAAAGCATTAGAGTTTTTCCTTACCGCGATAAGAATGGGGTTGGAGTATATTGACCTCGAGATGTCGTGGCCCTTGCTTATCATCGAAAAGGTTACTGCTTCAAAGAACCACACTAAGATCATCGCATCCCACCACGATGTCCAAGGTCACCTTCGCTGGAAAAACGCGAGTTGGGTATCTATCTTCAACACTGCTCTGAAGTTCGGAGATGTCATCAAACTCATCGGTGTAGCAAACAAGTTACAAGACAACTTTGATCTTCAGAATTTCCGTGAATGGGCTAGCTCACGCGCAACTCGTCTCATCGCCCTCAATGCTGGTGAGAAGGGTAAGCTTAGCAGAATTCTGAATATGTTCTTGACACCTGTTACACACCCGGCACTCCCATTCAAGGCTGCCCCTGGGCAGTTGACAGTGTCGGAGATTCATCGTGGCCTCTGGTTGATGGGTGAGATTGAGAGGAAGCAATTCTACCTCTTCGGAAAGCCAATTCAACATTCCCGAAGTCCCGCCCTTCACAACCACCTGTTCCACGATATGGGTCTTCCTCATCACTACCAGATCTTTGAGAACGATACCGTCAACGACGAAGCCACTCGAGCCATCCTCTATGCCGACGATTTCGGTGGTGCTAGTGTTACGATCCCGCACAAACTCAGCATTATGCCACTTCTTGATGAGATCACCCCCGAGGCCGAGATGATTGGAGCAGTCAACACTGTTCTCCCAGTCCTTGTCAAGACTCGTGGGGAGACTAAGAGAAAGCTTGTTGGTTACAATTTCGACTGGGTTGGTATCAAGACCTCCCTTTTCCAGGGAGGTGTTCGTGACACCTACGACGACCCAGGCAGTGCACTTGTCATCGGTGCTGGAGGTACGTCAAGAGCGGCCGTTTATGCTTTGCATAACATGCGCTACAGTACGATTTACATCATCAATCGTAGTGTTGCGAATCTCCAGCCCATCATCGATGCTTTCCCGGCTGAGTACAACATCATCGCTGTCAAGACACTCGATGAGGCACAGGCTATCTCCGTAAAACCAGTTACTGCGGTTTCTACAGTTCCTGCTGACAAACCCATTGATGCCGCAACTAAAGCGATTCTTACTGAGCTCTTGAAGGCCAACCCCGCCGATAGCCAAAAGGAGAGAGTGTTGGCGGAGATGGCATACAAGCCAAGACATACTGAAGTTATGAAGCTTGCTGAGGAGGCTGGATGGAAGACAGTTCCAGGGTTGGAGGCATTGACTGGGCAGGGTGTAAAACAATTTGAGGTAAGTTGCATCTGGGCGAGTGACATATTATGATGCTAATGTTTCCCGATTCAGGTGTTCACCGGTGGGATCATCCCGGACTATGAGCAGGCTCGTCAAGCTGTCTTGGGAGATGAGAAGTATTAGTAGTGTTGATGGAATTGCTTGGAGCTAGGACAAGTTTCTAGGTTTTTTTTTTTTTTTTTTTTCCTTTGCGTTTATTTTTTGATTCGTTCACAAAAGATGAATTAGTTGCTGTCCTTCTCGAAAGAAAAAAAAAGATTATCGTGGGGTACATGTGTTTTTCAAAATCAAAGATAGTTTGGAGATTTTGTGTGGTTTATTGTTTTTGCAAGCCCGTTCCGTTTCGTGTAAGCTGGAATGTAAACGTGGTTGGTGTCCCTACAAGTACATACCCGAAGCGACGAGGGGGCCGACCGCATCACGGACCTCGAAAAACCACCGCGACGCTACGGAGATAGTCTATCCATGTAACTGCCACTGCGCATAAGAACGACACCCTCCATCCATCCATCCAGTTCAATGCGGGCCATCTCTTCGAGGCGAATCCACTCTGGCGATCAAGTCAGGGTATATATATACATAGCGTGCCACTACACAAAACCGACCGAAACCCCCGCCGCAGCCGAAGCTTTCTCTCCAACCTTACGGTGCCCCCCCCCCCAAACGTCTGCGCGTAGTTGGGGGGGTACGTGTGGTGACTACAGTACTGTACAGTTACTCGCCAACAAAAAAAAAAAAAAAAAAAAAAAAAAAAAAAAAAAAAGGGGGGGGGGGGGGTCTGGCAATGAATTAAGTACCGTTGCAACGCTAGGAGGGTACATACTTAAAATTCATCGCCAGACCGTTTTATCCTTGGTGGCGAGGAGTAACCGGTCTGCCGATCATTGGCAGGTCTCACGTGACAGACAGGCCATTGGCAGGCACAGCCAATGATAATTCGGGGGGGATACTTGTATGTAGGTACATTCTTTCGACGCCAAGATGATGGATAGATAAATCGGAAGCCGCAGCAGGCCTTGCAAGTATCGGGTTACCTATAAAAAATTCCTTGAGGGGTTACCAACTGGTGCTCGATCATGGCGTATCACTCGACGCACCCCGCGCCCCTCCGCCTTCCCTTTTTAACCTACTCCCACTCACGTATGTAGGAACTCGCACACAAAAAAGCTCACCCAGAAACAAACTCACCACAAAGGTCCCCAAAGCCCCCAAACTGGCAAAAAAACAAAAACACTACGATTACACGCCCCCTAAAACTAAAATAGTACAAATATCGTAGAAAAGAAAAAAGCCCTAAAAGAAACGAAAGAAAAGAAAAAAAAAGAAAAATACACTTTTCCGCCCCCCCTTCTCCCCTTCCCCCCCCTACTCCGATCCTCACAACCTACTGCCCCTACTGCCCCTGCCCCTGCCCACCCTGACCACCCTGCCCCTGCTGCGCACCCCTACTAAGACTCAACAAGTTCTGCAGCGCCCTAAACGCCTCTGGATCCACCCTCTGCTGCTGCTGCTGCTGAGGCGGTGGTGGCGGCGGCGGCGGCCAGCTGTGCCCCTGGAAGAACGCGGGATTGACGTGCGCGCCCTGCGGGAGCGTCTGTGGATAGAAGCCCTGCTGCTGCTGCTGCTGCTGCGGGAACTGTGGGAACTGCGGGAACTGCGGGAAGGGCGGTGGCGTCCAGTGCTGCTGTTGCTGCTGCGGGAAGTGCGGGTGGTGGGGGGCGTATTGGGGTTGCGGCTGTTGCTGTTGTTGAGGGGGGGGGTATTGGGGCGGGTATTGGGGCTGCGCGGGGAATTGGGGGGGGTAGGGTTGCTGCTGCGGGTGCTGGGGGTGTTGGGGTTGTTGCTGATGTTGGGGGTGGTGTTGGTCTTCGCGGCGGCCGACACCGCTGCCTCCACTACCTCCACCACCACGCCCACGCCCATCACGGCCCCTCTGCCCGCCGCGGCCACCACGCTCATTCCGGCCCCCCCTTCCACCCCCACCACCCCCTCCTCCTGCTCCACCTCCCCTCCCTCGCGACGGCGGCGGCGGCGGCGGCGGCCCCGCCAGCATCTCCTGCAGATTCGCGGGCCTCGCCAACGGCACATACGGCTCATCCGTCTCCTTCACCACCTTCTTTCCATCCGCGCGCCTCTTATCCCCCGCCCTCGCCTTCCTCTTCCCGCGCCTCGCCTCAGCCTCCGCCTCATCGTCGCTAAACTCCCTCTCCCCCTCCGGCACCTCCTCGTCGTACAGGTTGCTCGCGTCGCTGCCCTTGACGGCGCGCAGCGGCGCCGTGAACACGTACGAGCTGTGGTCGGGCACGTAGTAGACGGCGTCGCCGACGGCCACGCCGGTCTCGGAGAGCTCTGCGGGGGTCGCGAAGCGCACGGTGTAGAGGGGCTGCTCGACGCGGCCGAAGATGTCGGAGACGGTGCCGAGGATGGTGCGGTCGGCGGTGCAGAGGAGGGAGGACTCGTTGAGGACGCGGTGGTCGCCGGGGGTGGCGGCGGTGATGAGGAGGGTGGTGCCGAGGAGGGTGGTGACGGTGCCGAGGTGCGTGATGGGGTGGGTGGGGGTGAGGGTGATGGTGGGGCGCTCGATGGGGAGCGCGGACTCGGGGATCTCGTTCTTGGTCTTGAGGGCGGAGCGCGAGGGGTGGCCGTCGGTGTCGGAGTGGTCGGAGGCCTCGTCCATTAGCAGTGCCGCGAGGGAGGACGGGTCGAGGAGGTCGTAGTCGGAGGAGCCGGCGGAGGAGGTGCTGTCGGAGTCGGAAGAATCGGAGGCGTCGGAGTCGAGCTCCCACTCGGCGGTGGGCTCGGACTTGTTGGCGAGGGCGGCGGCTTGGAAGGCTGCTTCGGGGTCGGTGTCGCCCATGGGGACGTCGTCTGTGGAGACGGGCTCGGGCTTGACGGCGGCGGAGTGGAGGGCGGTCTCGGCTTCTGGGGGCCCGGTGTCTTCTTCTTCTTCTTCTTCTTCTTCTTCTTCTTTTTTAACGGGCTTGCTGTCGTCCTGCATATGGCTGTCCTGCCCCTGTTCCTGTGGCTGTTGCTGCTCCTGTTCCTGTGGCCATTGCGGCCCCTCTTTCTCCTCGGCCTTGATGGCTTTTTCGCCCGTTTGCGCAGCGGGGTCGAGGGCGAACTTGAAGTCCTCTTTTGAGAGGGAATCATTTGTAGCAGTTGTAGTAGGATTGGGATTGGGGGTGGTGGTATCGCCCTTCTCGGTTTTAATTGTGTCTGTGTCTGTGTTCTCAGCGCTGGTGGGGGGGGCAGCATCCATCATTGTCTCTTCTGTCGAGGTGGTGGTGGGGTCGCTGAGGAGGAACAGGCCGGGGATTCCGCCGCCGGTGGGCGGTGAGGTTGTTGTTCTCTCCATTGTCTTGTTTGAATTGGGATTGTAGCGATGGATGTGGTTGTGTTTGTTGTTGTGGTTCTTGTTTGTGGTTTGTGGTGGGCCGTGGGCTGTGGGCTGAGTTGGGTTGAGGATTTTCAGAGCGAGAGAAAAGTTTGGGTTTTGACGTGTGCAGGGATGACGCTTCGGGTGAGGCGTGCACAAGGGTTAGGTTGGGCTAGCGTGGGGCTGCAGGCAAGACACGAGGAACACGAAGAGCACGCATCACGGCTCAAGACTCGGTTGGGGATTTGGAGGGACTCGGGTTTCTGGGCTTGCTCAACTGGGCGGGGGGTCTCCACTACAGCTCGATCGCTGTGTCTGGTCAGATGCTGATGCTGTGATAGCTACATGTTTGCACTGTTCTCGTCCCACGGGTGCATGCCCGTGCTTGATTGCGTGTTTGCGTGTTTGCGTGCGTGCCGCATCCCTGAAGCTCACCGTGGCCTCATGGCAGCAGCCCTCGAGTTCTCGCTCGCTCCCCCCGCTCTACAACCCGCACAGAGAAACCCACATCCCACATCCCACATCCCACACTCTCTACAGCACAGTAACCACGCCTAGCACACCTCCACAATGTCCGAACTGCGGGCCCGTACCCGCCCCGCGACCACACCCGCACCTGATCCTCCCGCTTCAGCAATCCCCACAAACCCCCGCCTCTCCAAAAAGGCCGCCCAAGCACCAACGCAAGTCCCTCCCCACCCCCTTCCACCTCCCCCACTAGAGTCAAACCGAGACTAACATACCTCTCTCTTCTAGTCCCCTCATAACCTCCGCCGCCGCATTCGCCCTCCTCCTCATCCCACGCCTCCTCTCAGCCCGCTACGCGACAATCCCCGACTGCGACGAAGTCTTCAACTTCTGGGAGCCCGCCCACTACCTCGCGCACTCGCACGGCCTGCAGACCTGGGAATACTCGCCGGCCTACGCCATCCGCTCATGGGCATACATCCTCCTGCACTCGGCCCTCTCGCGGCCCGTGTCGCTGCTGCCGGGCGTGGGCAAGCGCGCAGAGTTCTATGCGCTCCGTGCCGTCTTTGCAGTCGTGTGCGCGTACGCGGAGAGCAGGCTGTACCGCGCGGTGGCGGCGCGGCTGGGGCGCGGCGTGGGCGCGCTGTATCTGGCGTTTGCGGCGGGGAGCGCGGGCATGTTTCATGGCGCTGTGGCGTTCCTGCCCAGCACGTTTGCGATGTATACGGGCATGATGGCGGCGGCGGGGTTCTTGGAGGGCGCGGTGGTAGAGGGGGTAGTATGGACGGCGGTAGGCGCGGTGCTGGGGTGGCCGTTTTGTGCGGTTATGTGTGTGCCGTGGATCTTGGGGGCGCTGGTGACGGGCGTGGTGGAGGGGAGGGTGGTGGGTGTCGTGGGGAGGTGTGTTAAGGGGGCATTGTGGTCGGTGGGGGTGTTGGTAGGTTTTTCCCCGTGTTGTTGGGTGCGGGTGGTTGGGTGGTGGATAGTGAGTGAGTGGTGGGCTAATGATCGATATGTGTGTTTCCCCCACAGGCCATAATCGTCGCCATCGACTCCGCCTTCTACCGCAAGCTCGAGATCGTCCCGCTCAACATCGTGCTCTACAACGTGTTCAGCGACGCCTCGCGCGGGCCAAACATATACGGCACCGAGCCATGGCACTTCTACCTGCTCAACCTCACCCTCAACCACAATATCCTCCTCCCGCTCTCGCTCGCCGCCCTCCCCGCGCTCGCCCTCTCCGCACTCCTTGCCAAAACCCCCGTCACGCGCCGCGAGATCACGGCAACGCTCCCGTACTACATGTGGCTGGCCATCTTTACGCTCCAGCCCCATAAGGAGGAGCGGTTCATGTTCCTGGCATACCCGATGCTGCTCGTCAATGCCGCGATCGCACTCACCCGCGCGCTCGACGTCGTGGGCGCGCTCCTCCCGTCAAGGGTGCTCAGGAGGGTGTTGGCGGCGGCGGTGGTGGCGCTGACGACGCTGCTGTCGCTGTCGAGGACGCTGGCGGTCACGACGTCGTATTCGGCGCCGCTCACCATCTATAACAGCCTCCCCGCGGATGCAACGGGTAATCTGTGTGTTGCGGGCGAGTGGTATCGCTTTCCGTCGCACTACCTGCTGCCAGAGGGGGTGCGGGCCAAGTGGCTGGTGTCGGAGTTCCGTGGGCTGCTGCCGGGCGAGTTTGTGGAGGCGGGGTGGGAGGGGACGTGGAGGGTGCCGCAGGGGATGAATGATATGAATCGGGAGGATGTGGGCAAGTATGTGAGCCGCGGGGAGTGTGAGTACATTGTGGGCCTGGGGGAGAGGGAGAGGGGGGTGGTGATGGCGGAGGGGTGGGGGGTGGTGGTGGCGAGGGAGAGGTTCCTGGATAAGGAGGGGACGGGGCTGGTGGGGAGGGTGTTTTGGGTGCCCGGGTGGCTGTGGGAGGGGAGGAGGTGGGAGGAGTATTGGGTTGTGAAGAGAGGGAAGGGGGGCGAGTGAGAGTGTGTGATGGGGATTGGGGTTTTTGTCTTTGTAGTTACACACATGTATGTAGCTTTAGGTAGTCAGGTGACAGGTGCAATAGACGACACTCACCCGAACAGACAGCTGATGGTGACTGGTATAAGTCCAAGGCAGTGATGAGATAGATCCTCTAGTTGCGGCGGCAACTCTCGGGGCGAGGGGGACCGCCGGGTGAGTCTGCGGACTCGCCTACCGCAGAAGGGACACCCACCATCTCCACCACGTATATTGCTTGACTCATTTCATCAGCTTGGCTGACTCGTAAATGGATATGACCCATAGTTGCCAGTATCTAGGTCTCGTGCCCACAGGAAAGTATCTTCCTTCTTTTGGTCAGCATCCGTACAGCTGTATCCGGACACTTTGTGTAAGAGTATCTTTCAAAAAGTATCTTTCAAGCATAGATGAGTGTAATCGATGATTCAGAGGTCCTCAGTAGCTCTCAGCTCTCGATTTAAGTGAGTCTATAATATCTATAATAGAGTATACTTGTCTTCTGGCGCGTGACTCAAACCGTGTCCTTACACTTTGGACCAGCTGGCGCAAAAGAAGCGACAGTCGACCAAACTTATCCCGGAATCACTCCCGCTAAGTACGTACCTCTGCGTGATCTCAGCCGGCCGTCCCTGATAAAAACCCCTGAACGGGCCAACCAAACAAACATACTGCCCGTAAGGTGTGACGCTCGTTTAGCCATCTCCGAGGGCGCTGTCAGAGGGGGGGATAACGTTCGCGGTAGTACTCTAGGTAGACCACCACACGATAGATACCGCCAGGCGCTACACTGCTACACACCGCTTAACCACCGCCCGCCGAATCCCCCCCCCATAAAAGGCTGTTAGCAATCAAAACCGAGTGAGCACCCATGACCCCCCATACCCCAAACTAAAGATAGGCTTAGCGCAGATCGTGGCGAATGAGGCTCATGGAACGCGTCGTGGAACATTCCGCCCCCCCCTCCCCCCCCCCGATTTGCTCGCTCGCTCGGCTCGGCTCCAGCTCCAGCACTGAGCAGCAGGCACAGGGGGAGGAGATTTTTTAGCTTTGCTGGCTGGCCACCGTGGCACGTGCGTGGGGGCCGCCGCGGCCGCGTCGCGCACCTTTTTTTTTTCTTTTTTTTTTTTTTTTCTCGTTGAGGGGTGGGTGGTGGGTTAGGGTTCGGCGGTTGCGGCTGGGGTTGTGGTGGTGGGTGTAGTGCGTCATGGGAAATCACCCGGTATTGAGGTGTCTTGGCGGGGTTGTGGAGGGGCGGAGTGCCGGTGGGAGAGAAGGAGGGTATGACGCGTTAGGTGTGGTGGGGGGGTGGGATGGAATCGGAGATAGGATGAGGATGGGTTACTGGATGGGGGGATTGGGGATTGGGTGTGTGTGAGATTTCTTTCTTTGTTATCTGGATGGGTTTTCAATTAATGACGACTGGTGTGTACTGTAGATAGAATGCGAATTCGAATGGTGGTGAGCGATGTGTTGGATTGCGCACGGTGGGAGACGGCAGATTGCTCGTTTACAGGTTTCGAAGCTCAAATAAAAGAGTGGGCTGCGTAGATACATGGTTTTTCTGGATCCTCAAGACTGTGCTGCGCCATTGTGGCCTTACAGGTACCGGTATGGTTTAAGCCTGGTTGTCACACGCGCGCAGCAGCATGATTTACCGTGACGAAGTTTATCATACCGTGTCTCATCGTTGCTTCATCGCATATTGTCACTCACTAGAAACGCGTCTACGAGAAAAATTCACAACCTAATAGTTATAATACGCAAATTACGGTTACAGAACAAAATACGGGGCAATCATTGTAATTTCAGAGCTCAGGAGAAGCCACCGCATATTAAAGACAGTGTCTTCTCCCCATCTTCATTCCTTCATATAGAAAGCTGGCTATAGTACAAATCCCGGTAGAAAAATAGAAACACAATTCCCCCGCGTAGACTAAGAAGAAGAAAAGAAAAAGAAAATTCCAGAATTTAACCCGAACACCCGAAGAAAATCGACATAATGTAACACTTGGCTGGAAACGACACGCTTAACCACCGAAACCGTAGAGAGTGCGTCCCTGGCGCTTGAGGGCGTAGACAACGTCGAGGGAGGTGACGGTCTTCCTCTTTGCGTGCTCGGTGTAGGTGACGGCATCACGGATGACACCCTCGAGGAAGGTCTTGAGGACACCACGGGTCTCTTCGTAGATCACTGCAAGGCAGACACGTTAGAGATTGTTCATGAAGCTATATGTAAAAGAGTTAGAGGTAAACATACTGGCAGAGATACGCTTGACACCACCACGACGCGCGAGACGGCGGATAGCGGGCTTAGTGATACCCTGGATGTTGTCACGGAGAATCTTTCTGTGACGCTTGGCGCCACCCTTTCCGAGACCCTTTCCACCTTTTCCACCTGTAGAGAAAACAAGTTTAGTAAATGGACGCGTTGATCAAGCAAGCGGAGATATTAAAACCTACGTCCAGTCATTTTGAGTTGAGTTGTTGGGGGGGTTGCTTTAAAAAAAGAAGTTGAAGTTTATGAAACGCGAGATAGTTGCGTTAGATTCGTAGTAGTGCAGGATGAGTTGAAGGAAGTGCTTTCGAGGTGGGGGAAAACACGCGGTATTTGAAGAGGACCCGTACCCCATTTGATTTTCAACATCAACCAGGCCAGACAGGCAAGGCAGGCACCGACCGCGCTCGAAAAAAAATTGGGGGGCGCCATCTTTGTGCTGCATGACTGAAACCCTGGCCCTGACCCACGTTGGGCGAAACACGCTAATATCTCTGCTTCACTCTACGATGCTACAAGGGGGGTGTAGGACCAAAGAATTGAATGGGCGCACAAGGTGGTGGTGATCTATGGGATTTTTGAGGATCCAGATTCCAGAAGAAGCCTGTATTGGGGAGCGAGGTACGGCACGGATCTATGGAATGCATGTTACATCAACATACCGACCGACTTGTAACTCCTGCATCGGTTGGTCGGCCAGTCATTTATGGCAATTCTATCTGCTGTAAAGCCTTTTTTTTCTGCCTGTTATATGTTGTCTGCAGGTTGAAAAGAGAACACGGTAGATAGAATGAAAATGCCAGGTTCGGCGAAAATACTCGGTCGCTCAAAAGATGAAATAGAGAAGGACACATTCAAACAATACTATGGCTTTAAAGTTGAATACGAGGAAAAGAGAATTATTTTGAGAGTAACGCAATGCCCATCTACTATTGCACATGCGACATGACTCAAATCTCACGTCTTTGAGATTTTGGAGATGGAAATGGCAGTTCACCAGGTTCCTTGCCTTAGTTAGTAGCAGCGGCTGAATGCGGAAGTGGTGTGTGTGGGTGCGCTGCACAACCAACCAGGATGTGATACCTTAGTTGCAACTCAGCCATTTTGCACCCAAATCCCCCATACAAAATTATGGTCGAAAAACACGCTGGAAAGGAGAACTTTTTTCGGGGTATTTCCGGTTGCAACGTACTCTGGGTTTTTCAAGAACCCCAACCTCCCATTTCTATTCTTTTCCCTAACCCTGCCCTGCTCACTCCTTGTTCTGTGTCCTAAGTTGATTCCGTGGCCTTGACCCACGGTATATAAGCACAGCTTGCCGCCCTCCCCGATCTCGTCTTCTTCTCTATTCCACTTCACCACAACAACACCAACAACATCTAAATCAGCCAAAAATCACCAAAAATGGCCCGCACCAAACAGGTAAGATAATAACCCCATCCATACATCTAGTACTAGGACATGATGACCATCATGTCCCACCTTGCTTAATATGTTGATGTGTTAACGCGTTTTGTTTATAGACCGCCCGTAAGTCCACCGGAGGAAAGGCTCCTCGTAAGCAGTTTGCCAACAAGGCTGCTCGTAAATCTGCACCATCCACTGGTAAGTTTAAAGATCCTACCTCATCCTATCACATCACGAATAGAAACAGTTGCTAACTAAACAACAACAGGTGGTGTCAAGAAGCCTCACAGATACAAGCCTGGTACCGTCGCTCTCCGTGAGATCCGTCGCTACCAGAAGTCCACTGAGCTTTTGATCCGCAAGCTTCCCTTCCAGAGGCTTGTTCGTGAGATCGCTCAGGACTTCAAGTCCGACCTCCGCTTCCAGTCATCCGCCATCGGTGCTCTTCAGGAGTCCGTTGAGGCCTACCTCGTCTCTCTGTTTGAGGACACCAACTTGTGTGGTAAGTAACCACTTCTGCCGCGTTGCCACTCGCGTCTATTTTTTTTTTTTTATTAATAGAATAACCACTAACATTGTCATTACAGCTATCCATGCCAAGCGTGTCACCATCCAGTCCAAGGACATCCAGCTCGCTCGCCGTCTCCGTGGCGAGCGCTCTTAGAGTATTACCATAACGATAATCTTCGGGGGGATGGGTTAGTAGTGTCTTTTAAATGAATTCAATGGTTCTTTGTTCCTGGGTTTCCTTTTTTGCTCGTACAGTACTGGGTGGGGTGTTAGCTTTCTTGTTTTTGCACCGCCAGAACGGTGGAGTTTGTTGTACTATAGTTTCAATTTCGTGAAAACAACAAATGTAAGAAGGTCAATAACCTGGCCTTCTAGTTCAAAACATGCTCTCTCTCTCTAGTTAATACCACCAATCTAGCTTGACTGTGAGAATAAATGAAACCCTTAACGATATCTTGTCTTTGCCATCCTCCAAGTGACACCTGTAGAAGTAAATAAAGTAGTAACGCACGACCTGTGAGTGGTAGGAGGTAAGTATGGGAGCGCCTCTATGTAGATATCGTTCATCACGTCTGATTGTAAATGTTCTCGCTTCCGCCCTTCGGAGATTTTATTACCATCACGCCCTGTGCAACATCACGCGGAACCGTAACGAAACCTCCAAAAGAACGTTCCCCTCACTTCTGACGAACAGAAGTCCAGCAGTTCGATGCCTTGGTTTCAATAGAAAACGGAACCTGCACATAATGTGCTCTACATGTATGTACTCCGCACTTGCTATCGCGAGAAACAAGAATGGCAGGAATGCGACCGTGATGAACAACTCGCCCGGCAGGCTTTCCACGAATAGCATGCAACAAACGCGAGGAACACAAAACGATCATCCCCCCCCCCTCAGCAAACGCCGGGCCCCGCCAACGGATAGAATCTGTTTCGCCGCTGCAGCAGCACAGGTCTTTTTTGGGCGACGGTCTGCCTTCGTGGATCCAGTTGGGACGAAACAGGTAAGATACAGGGGTTGAGGGGGGGAGGGGGGTTTATCGCTCTCGGATGGGGAGGCTCTTGTTGACGAGAGATCCAACCCGACCGACGTCCCTGCATGCAGTGCAGTAATCAGTGTGGGTGATGGATTTGCACCATCACCGAGCCAAACGCCGTCATTTCTGCCACGTTCGGCGTAATCTACAGGAGTATGATTGGTATTCCGAGGTTAGGCATGGGGGGAGGGGAGGAGGGAAGGAGGGAGGGAGGGGGGTGTTCTGGGCGGCTGGCGAATGGTTGAGGCGTGTGGCTACTTTGGGGGGGCGAAGCGTGAATGGACAAGCCACCACTTGGGTCTAGTCACCTACTCTTCAACTGTACCTCCTGTCCTTTCCTTTGGCACTAGTACCACTACACCTTACACCTTCGCTCTTTGGTTACTCCCGGTACAACACAGATGGTGATCCCCAGGTACAGCTGAAAGTATTAATACCATCACCTCCCCCCCGGACTTTCGTCACCTTACGATCCTTATTTTTCCACTTTTTACAATCCCTCGCCTTCACACTCACTCACTTTGTTTCAACGAAAAAAAGCCAACCACCAGCACCAGAATAAGAAGAAAGACACAACTAGCACGATGGCATCTCTGCTCACCACTAGCTCCAGGCTATTTGCAAAACGGGCTCATCCAACATCAAGCACAATACATCAGCTTCTAAAGGGCCCCCAGCGCCGGCGCGAGATATTCACAACACCTCACCCAACACACCCAATCTTTGCGAAGCTTCCAACGAGGTTCACATTGACGCTGAGGACGGCATACAACTATGGGACATACGCGGCCGCACCGGTGGTGCGCACATTTGACCGGTATGGGCAGGCGCAGAGGAAGAGGCCATATGTGACGCAGCTCTTGACGTCCATTGCCATCTATGCATTGGGGGACCTGAATGCGCAGTTCCTGTTTGGGGAGGAGGGCGTGGCCTATGATCCAGTGAGGACCGGGAGGAATATTGCCATTGGTGGAGTCTTCTCGATTCCAAGTTATCTTTGGTGAGTCAGCCCAGCCTTGGGGACGCCTTTCCCCTTCAATCCATCAATTCATCCGTTTCAAGCGGGGCCAGCAAAGCAACCACGGGTGAAACAACCCCGCTAACGCTATTTTCAGGTTCAAATATCTCGGCGAGTCTTTCAACTTCCGCAGCAAGCTGCTGTCAATCTCGACCCGGGTGCTGGTGAACCAGATCTTCTTCACCCCCGTCTTCCTTGCCGCCTTCTTCACCCTGCAGAGCGTCTTTTCATCCGTCGGCACAGTGAGCACACGGGAGATGGTTGACACCCTCAAGAAGACCATCCCCACAGCATACATCAACTCCTGTAAGCTGTGGCCCGCCGTGACCGCCGTCAACTTCTGGTTCGTCCCGCTCGAGTTCCGCGCCCTGTTTGGTGGTGCAATTGCCGTGGGCTGGAATGGATACCTCAGCTTTTTGAGCCAGCGGGCTAACCGCGAGGATGCGTTTGCGGCGATGGAGTTTGAGACGCCGGCTGAGATTGCGGAGGTTGTTGCGGTGACTCCGGTCCCGGTTGTTGCCCCTGCCGTTGCGGCGCCTGCGAGGAAGATCATGTTGGCGGTAGAAGCCGGCGTGACGATGGCTGTATAGACGTCGTTTCTGTTTTTGTTTCCCCCTCCCTTTTGATTCATTTTTCTTTTTGGCTGCTAAACGCTAGAAGAGTCACATATACTATATTTTTGGGCTGGTCTGAGACCCCTTTACACTCCTTACCACTGATCCTTTTCCTTTGTCAGTTTCCCTTTGTTTTAGGTCGATTTTTTCTTAGGGAATCTAGAGAGCTTCCTAGATGATCTTGTTCTTTTTTTTTGCACATAGAGGCTTGTTTTTTGGTTTATTCGGCATCATTTTGTTTTTGTGCTGCTGCAATTGTCTATACTTTTATTTATCATTTTTGGATTTGTTATATTTTTTACGCCATATATAATCCCTTCGTTTTTTGCTCCCTTTTTTCTCTTTCCTTTTTTTTTTGTTACAGTGGCTTTTTGATTATAACCGGACCTGGGGGTTTTTTGCTTCTGTTTTCTTTTTGCTCCTTCTTGTATGATTCGACATCTGGCAGGCGGTAAAGCGGTGAAAGAAGGGACTGTGGGTATAGTTACGTGTAGCTATTCCTATGGGCTTGCTTGCTTTGCTTCGCTTCTTGGAGAACCAAATTTATATCATATTTTAGTAACCTTTTTTTTCTTCTTTCCTTTAGGCACGGGCAGGGGTTGTTGTTGATGCTACTATAGACTAAGGTACTGGATAGATATTGGAGACTGGATAGATGGATGGAAGGAAGAGCCAGTGTTTTTGATAGACGGGCGAGAAGGGAAAGGTTACGTAGGAGGTTATGGAGGAGGATACGTTGGGGGAGGGGGGAGTTATGAGGTCATTTTCCTTGGTCGTTTAGAGAGCTGCGGGCTAGTGTAGTGTATATGAAGCGGTGAGAAGCAGAGGGGGGTTTAGGTAGTGAGTGGATGCTCTGGTCTGGTCTTCTGACGCTAGAAGAGAAGGGGACTAGAATTCGAACAGAGAATCTGATGCACGAATTGTACTCGCTTCCTGTGGCCATTGTGGCGGATAGGCAGGCTCAAATGAAGTAAATACATGTAAATGATCGTTGGCCCGGCCAACCCACGAAGCTCCCAAGCCAAACCTTAACGGCCATGATCTGATCTATAACTGCCCTGCTCCGGATCTGACACAGCGAGCCATGAGCAAGCAGCATGTTAGATCCAAAGTGACGAACCCCACACATCCATTTGTGAAGTTGCTTTTTTTGGACGTATGATCTTAAATTGCTTCTGCTTTCCCCGCCAAACGCGGGTCTGGCCTCGATTGCTAGCGTAATATGATTGATACTCTACTTTCTACTTAAGCTTGTAATGTTGTAATTTTGAGGGGTTTGCAGGAGATGTTCTACCTTGAGCGGAGTACGTGGGTAGAGGGCATAGAGTAAATGTGTGTACTCCAGCTTAGTACGACTCTGTCTGGACGTGGGCATGGTCGAAACATGAGTGAATGATTCGTCGAGCTTACTGGCTATCTGATTGGTCGCCCTGATTGGCTAATTAGTTGATTGGTTGGTTGCCCGTGGAGCTCTAACTAGCTAGCTAGCTAGCTTATGTAGTGTAGCTTTGAGGTCTTTTCTCACCACCTACCAACCTACTTACCTGCTTACCTGCCTGCAACGAGAGGAGCAAATATATCGGGGCTGTATTCGAATCGAATACTCCAACCCATTCTACCAACCATCTATCTATCCAGCTAGCTAGCTTTCTAGCGAGCTCTAGTATGTAGAAACATCCAGAAAACTTTTTTACTTCTTGCCATTTTACCCGGGAGGGCGATTTGATCGATCGCCCACTCACTCACTCAGTCCTCTATAGCTATAATGGAAAGGAAGAGAGGCAAGCAAGAAAAGAAAAAAGGCGGGCCGGATACATGCCGTCGCCGGTGGGAGAGAAGATATTGTTTTTGTGTTTCTGGAGATAGGTGGTATCTCACGGGAAGCAGAGGCGCGGTTGAATTGGCTACATCCACCCTCCCCCCCTTCCCCGTCCCCCTTACTAAGGGGGGAGGGCTCGACGTTGCGGATACACGTGGACGAGTGATATTGCATGACCACATCTGGCCGATGGGGAGTGATTATCATCATGCAGCTAATCAGCTGTGTCCGATTGGGCGAGGGAAGGGGTAAGGGTGCTGGGTAGAGAGTGAAGGAAGGGGACAGACAGACAGACAGAGAGAGAGAAAGGAAACAGACAGACAGCGGCAGAGGGAGAGGGTGGTTGCAGTTCTTGATACTCATTCTCTCCGCCGGCATCATCAACCATCACCAGCACCGACTGCCTGTTCCCTACCGTTTCCTCCCCACCACACATCCATACACCCCCACCACACACAGCATACGCCCCACCAGAACCACCAGAACCACCAGAACCACCAGAACCACCAGAACCACCAGAACCACCAGAACCACCAGAACCACTACCACCAGAACCATTACCACCAGAACCACAGCACAGCATCACAACCAAACCCACAAACGCCATGGCCCCCGCAACCGCAGCAGCAGCGGCCCTCACGACCGCCTGCACAACTGCAATCTCCA